TCAAGATAACCTCAAGATAACATGGAATGTTTGAGACACTGAACATTGAGATTAGGAAGAACATCGAACCATGTTATGGTGTCAGGGAAGGAGAGAGGAGGGAAGGAGGAAGAGAAGAGGAGGGAAGAAGGAAGAGGAGAAGAGGAGGGAAGGAAGAGGACAAGGGGCATGAAAGGGAAGGAATAGGAGAGGAGGAGTGGAGGACCCTTACTGGTGATCAACGACTGATGGCTGTGAAATTAAAGACCCCAATGTCCACTGGTTAGTTAATTTTAACGACTGTTGCCGTAACTGGATGTGTGTGTGTGTGTGTGTGTGTGTGTGTGTGTGTGTGTGTGTGTGTGTGTGTGTGTGTTGTGTGTGTGTTGTGTGTGTCTGTGTGTATGTGTGTCTGTGTGTATGTGTGTGTGTGTGTGTTGTGTGTGTGTGTGTGTGTGTGTGTGTGTGTGTGTGTGTGTGTGTGTGTGTGTGTGTGTGTGTGTGTGTGTGCGTGTGTAGCATAAACCCAAAGATGCTGAAAACATCTTCAGCAGAATGAACAACATTAGGCAGACAGAATGCCTCTCCGAGCAGTGTTCAGTGAACCAGACGCGCTTGGTCAAACATAGTTTTAGAAATTGAGCGATCCAGCATGCACAGGGAACGAAGGGGAGGAATCCAGGCCGTATGTAAGCCACTGGAACCCTCTGAATAAGGCTGAAAATGAAGTTTCTGTAGCCCCTTTCTCTAGTGTAAGTCTGAGAGGACTTTACTCTATCGGATATGCTAAGACTATACCTCTAACCGTGCGCGAAATGTCTAGGTGAACACCCAGCAAACTCAGCATAACCACGACACAGTCGCAGCATCGTTACGCTGCATCTTTGTTGGAGATATATTGAATAAAGCGCGGGGAAACGGCGGGAGACAATGAATGGATATATTTTTACGATGTAACAGCAGGTTGTAACATGTGTAGGCCTTACAGAACATTGTATGAATTACTGAACCAATTCCGGTGTATTATAAGGCACTACAGCCATGCTCCACACAGGTAACAGCCACTACAACCATGCTCCACACAGGTAACAGCCACTACAACCATGCTCCACACAGGTAACAGCCACTACAACCATGCTCCACACAGGTAAACAGCCACTACAACCATGCTCCACACAGGTAACAGCCACTACAACCATGCTCCACACAGGTAACAGCCACTACAACCATGCTCCACACAGGTAACAGCCACTACAACCATGCTCCACACATGTAACAGTCACTACACCATGCTCCACACAGGTACCACAGCCACTACAACCATGCTCCACACAGGTAACAGCCACTACAACCATGCTCCACACAGGTAACAGCCACTACAACCATGCTCCACACAGGTAACAGCCACTACAACCATGCTCCACACAGGTAACAGCCACTACAACCATGCTCCACACAGGTACAGCCACTACAACCATGCTCCACACAGGTACAAGCCACTACAGCCATGCTCCCACACAGGTAACAAGCCACTACACCATGCTCCACACAGGTAACAAGCCACTACCAACCATGCTCCACACAGGTACAACCACTACAACCATGCTCCACACAGATACACAAACCATGCAACCACCCAGATAACAACCATGCTCACCACAGGTAACAACCATGCGCACCACACAGGTAACAACCATGCTCACCACATGTAACAACCATGCTCACCACAGGTAACACCATGCTGCACACTGGTAACAACCATGCTCACCACAGGTAACAACCATGCTCACCACAGGTAACAACCATGCTCCACACTGGTAACAACCATGCTCCACACAGGTAACAACCATGCTCACCACAGGTAACAACCATGCTCACCACAGGTAAAAACCATGCTCACCACAGGTAACAACCATGCTCACCACAGGTAACAACCATGCTCACCACAGGTAACAACCATGCTCCACACTGGTAACAACCATGCTCCACACAGGTAACAACCATGCTCACCACAGGTAACAACCATGCTCCACACAGGTAACAACCATGCTCACCACAGGTAACAACCATGCTCACCACAGGTAACAACCATGCTCCACACAGGTAACAACCATGCTCACCACAGGTAACAACCATGCTCCACACAGGTAACAACCATGCTCCACACAGGTAACAACCATGCTCACCACAGGTAAAAACCTCTCACCACAGGTAACAACCATGCTCCACACAGGTAACAACCATGCTCACCACAGGTAACAACCATGCTCACCACAGGTAACAACCATGCTCCACACAGTAACAACCATGCTCACCACAGGTAACAACCATGCTCCACACTGGTAACAAACCTGCTTCCACACAGGTAACAACCATGCTCACCACAGGTAACAACCATGCTCACCACAGGTAACAACCATGCTCACCACAGGTAACAACCATGCTCACCACAGGTAACAACCATGCTCACCACAGGTAACAACCATGCTCACCACAGGTAACAACCATGCTCACCACAGGTAACAACCATGCTCACCACAGGTAACAACCATGCTCACCACAGGTAACAACCATGCTCACCACAGATAACAACCATGCTCACCACAAAATCAGAAGTTGCTACACACAAACTCTGAAGGGAATAACAAAAATATTTGGATACACGTGAATAAAATACAACTAAACTTTACATGGCTTTATGCACTGACCCGAGGAAGGTCAACGTATAAAGAAAGGTCATATGCTGTACTGATTTTCAGATCCAATTCCTGATTTAGCAAAAAATTTTTGTTATTGTTTTACCTCAAACATTAGCAACACTCCCAAGTATTTAAAATAGTCATCCATGATACAATTCCCCATCTCCTAATTCCTTGAAAGGAAAACGGTACCAAACCCCCCCGGATTCTGGGGGGACCCCATGGGTATAAAGTTCCATAAACTTAAAAGGCACGAATGTTGTAAATGATGACTGTTTAAACAGCCAATTGAAACATCTTCTTTCACACAATACCACTCACAACTTACCCAATCAACAGCTACAGATTAAAAACGCTAAAATAGGGCCAAAAATACACGGGAAAAGAACGACAGTGAGGGGGTGAGATACAGTATTGTATTCGACCTACACGAAGGGAATCCAATCCTCGGTATGTGAGACTCGAATTAGCTTGGCAGTATCGAGGTGAGGCTCACTTGTCTCTGGGATCAGGGAGGGGATTTCGGAACTGATTGTTGTGAGTGTGGAGGTACTTGGAGCATAAGCTGTGGCGGCGACGTTCAGAAGAGAGAGAGAGAGAGAGAAGAGAGAGAGAGAGAGAGAGAGAGAGAGAGAGAGAGAGAGAGAGAGAGAGAGAGAGAGAGAGAGAGAGAGAGAGAGAGACGAGAGTAAGGGACATGAGGGATTATGATAAATTGTGTTCCTTCTGCTGGACGAATGTTGGCGACTGTGAGGGAATGTTGGCGACTGTGAGGGAATGTTGGCGACTGTGAGGGAATGTTGGCGACTGTGAGGGAATGTTGGCGACTGTGAGGGAGACTGTTGGCGACTGTGAGGGAGACTGTTGGCGACTGTGAGGGAGACTGTTGGCGACTGTGAGGGAGACTGTTGGCGACTGTGAGGGAGACTGTTGGCGACTGTGAGGGAATGTTGGCGACTGTGTAGGGAATGTTGCGACTGTGAGGAGAATGTTGGGCGACTGTGAGGAGATGTTGGCGACTGTGAGGACATGTTGGCGACTGTGAGGGAATGTTGGCGACTGTGAGGGAATGTTGGCGACTGTGAGGGAATGTTGGCGACTGTGAGGGAATGTTGGCGACTGTGAGGGAATGTTGGCGACTGTGAGGGAATGTTGGCGACTGTGAGGAGATGTTGGCGACTGTGAGGGAATGTTGGCGACTGTGAGGGAATGTTGGCGACTGTGAGGGAATGTTGGCGACTGTGAGGGAATGTTGGCGACTGTGAGGAGAATGTTGGCGACTGTGAGGGAATGTTGGCGACTGTGAGGGAATGTTTGCATGAAGCATAAGCAGGCCGACATGAGTGAGAGAGAGTATACAAGTATCTCACCATACAGAGAGAGAGAGTATACAAGTATCACATCATACATAAGACGGTTCACACGGAATATCAAAACCTACTTAACCCTATCCACCCTAACCAAGCCCCGACTTAACCTACCAGCTTTTAAACCAGCAGAAAACGACATTTGCCGAACCTATTCGTAGACAATTTGTCCTCATCCAGCGAGGAACATTGCTGACGATCTTGCAAGGTTCGTGTTTACGAATGCAACATTGCAGTAAAGTGACATATGGGTTGACCTATCACATAGGCCATTAGGTTGACCTATCACATAGGCCATTAGGTTGACCTATCACATAGGCGAGGGACCGCCATAGGTGGCGGTCCCTCGATTGTTTCAAGCGTGGGTTGGACATGTATATGAGTGGGATTGGGTGGTTATATATAGGAGCTGCCTCGTATGGGCCAATAGGCCTTCTGCAGTTGCCTTTGTTCTTATGTTCTTACGTTCATATGTTCATAGTTTGACTCACAGATTTCACGAGAAGTGGCACATGAAGATTAGAAAAAGACACAACTAACAAAAAAAAAAAAAAAATAATTAATGTAATTGTAAACACAAAATAATTCTTGCTTAATGCAAATTACAAATCCAAAATCACTTCCATTACCGGTAACTAGCGTTACCTGCCACAGGTAACGGTAGCCACCTGCCACAGGTAACGGTAGCCACCTGCCACAGGTAACGGTAGCCACCTGCCACAGGTAACGGTAGCCACCTGCCACAGGTAACGGTAGCCACCTGCCACAGGTAACGGTAGCCACCTGCCACAGGTAACGGTAGCCACCTGCCACAGGTAACGGTAGCCACCTGCCACAGGTAACGGTAGCCACCTGCCACAGGTAACGGTAGCCACCTGCCACAGGTAACGGTAGCCACCTGCCACAGGTACGGTAGCCCCCTGCCACAGTAACGTACCCACCTGCCACAGGTAACGGTAGCCACCTGCCAACAGGTAACGGTACCCACCGTTCCCACCTGCCACAGGTAACGTAGCCAACGCCACAGGTAACAAGCGTGGGTGGAGCCACCTGCCACAGGTAACGGTAGCCCACCTGCCACAGGTAACGGTAGCCACCTGCCAAGGTAACGGTACGGCCACCTGCCACAGGTAACGGTAGCCACCTGCCACAGGTAACGGTAGCCACCTGCCACAGGTAACGGTAGCCACCTGCCACAGGTAACGGTACGGTACCTACCTGCCACAGGTAACGGTAGCCACCTGCCACAGGTAACGGTAGCCACCTGCCACAGGTAACGGTACCCACCTGCCCACAGGTAACGGTAGCCACCTGCCACACGGTAACGGTACGGTACCACCTGCCACAGGTAACGGTAGCCACCTGCCACAGGTAACGGTAGCCACCTGCCACAGGTAACGGTACCTACCTGCCACAGTAACGGTACCCACCTGCCACAGTAACGGTAGCCACCTGCCACACGGTAACGGTAGCCACCTGCCACAGGTAACGGTAGCCACCTGCCACACGGTAACGGTACCCACCTGCCACAGGTAACGGTAGCCACCTGCCACAGGTAAGTACCCACCTGCCACAGGTAACGGTAGCCACCTGCCACAGGTAACGGTAGCCACCTGCCACAGGTAACGGTAGCCACCTGCCACAGGTAACGGTAGCCCACCTGCCACAGGTAACGGTACCCACCTGCCACAGGTAACGGTAGCCACCTGCCACAGGTAACGGTAGCCACCTGCCACAGGTAACGGTAGCCACCTGCCACAGGTAACGGTACCCACCTGCCACAGGTAACAGTAACCCAACCTGATCCTGGCAACCACTGTGTCGCACAGTCTGGTCGACGTTTCGTGCTGCCCATAAACATAGGTTTCAGATCTGAACAAATCATAGCTTTTTCTACTGGTGCTTTCAGGTCGTTGGGAGTCAGATTCTCTCCGTTTTCTGTAATACCGTTCGCATACCCTTTTTTGTGCGTGTTTATCCGTTCTTATTTCTATTCCATATTCTTCCTTCCTCCTGTTCCCCCCCTTTTCCACGGTACCTTTCTTCCTTCTCTCTCTCTTTCCCCCTTCTCCCCGCAACTCTTCTACCTTTCCAGCTTTCTTCTTCCTTCCTCCTCTCTCTCTCTCTCTCTCCCTCCTCCTCCTCCCATCCGTCCTTGACCCCCCCCCCCCAAGTGACTCACCCCCCCCCCCCCCCCCCCCGCAGCAATAAACAACCACTGCTTCACTGGCCAGTTCTCCGCCTCAGCTGCAGAACATTAACTACGCCCTTCTACAATAACACTCACTGTTCGTGTCGCGATTGTGTGATACCGTGAGTCCAGTAACTACCTATTAAAACAAGGGGGTGGCAACCCGGGGGCGCCGGTTTATCGCCTAGAAAAAGAACCTTTTGACTATACTCCACAAGGTCTTAGCTGTTTACAGATCAGTTTTAAAGACTTCTTGTATCCTCCTCCCCCCTCCCCCAGTTCCCTGAGCTCCTAATTAATGTATTATTGAATCGACGCTTAAAAAACAAATACAGTTTAGGAGAGATAAGCGCGGTTGCATATTGAAAATTACTTGATAAAGATGAAGTCAAAATAATAACGAAAATGATAGTGAAAATGCTAATAAAGGCTCTCCTCTCTCTCTCTATTCTCCTCTTTCATTCATTCATTCATTTCTTCTCTCTCTCTCTCTCTCCTCTCTCTCTCTCTCTCTCTCTCTCTCTCTCTCTCTCTCCTCTCCTCTCTCTCTCTCTCTCTCCTCCTCTCTCTCTCTCTCTC